TGGCATGTGGTGCTGGGGATCGAACCGCGGTCCCTGTGTTTTGCCAAGCTTGTTTCAAGTAGGTGCTTTAGACCACTGAGCCATCTCTCCAGCCCCTGTATACTTATTTTTATTATATGTATTTTTGTTGGTTGGTTGGAGTTTTTGAGACAGGGTCTCACTGTATAGTCCATGCTGGCCTTAAACTCACTATGTGGCCTAGGCCTCAAACTCATAGCAGTCTGCCTCAGCTTCTGGGATTACAGGCATGCATTACCCTGCCTGGTGTTAATATATGCTTAAAATGATTGATTTGGGAGGGCTGACCAGATAGCTCAGCGACTAAAGCGCCCACTTAGGCAGAGCACAGCAGCCAGGGTTCGATCCCCGGCCTGCCGTGCTGGCCCCATCCCTGGGGTGCACTGAGAGGGCGATTGAGACTGGGCATGATGGCATGGGCCTGTAATCCCAGCACTTAGGAGGCTGAAAAACAGGATCACTACAACTCCAATCTACATAGTGAGACCCTGTAGACCCTGTACTAAATACATTAAAAAAAAAAAAAAAGATTGATTTGGGGAGGCTGGGAATCTAGCTCTGTAGCAGAGTACTTGCCTAGCATATGTAAAACCCGAGTTCAAGCCCCATTTCAGGGTGGGAGTGGGGTTATGGCATAAAAATTATGCCTCCATAATTTTAGGGGTAGGCTTGCTATGTAGTTCAGGCTGGTCTTGAACTCACTATGTTCCCCAAGCTAGTCTTGAACTCACAGCGATCCTGTTTCCCCAGCCTCCTGAGTGCTGGGATTACAGATACTCATTAGCATGCCTGGCTGCCCTGATAAAATTTTGTTTTTGGCAGAACCGGGGATTGAACTCAGGCCCTTGCACTTGCCAGGGAAGCACTTATTCCACTGAGCCATCTCCCCGGCCCCAACCCTGATAAAATTAATACCCTAACTTTTTATTTTTAATCTTGTATTTGGTATAGGGTCTCACTATGCAGCTCAGACTTGCAGTGATCCTCCTGTCTCAGCCTTCCCAGTACTGGCATTACAGGCATGTACCACCATGCCCAGTTTTGGTGGCTGGCACAGCGTGCCCCAGGGTTCTGGGGCTGGCACAGCATGTGGTATTGGGGATTGAATCTGGGTCTTTGCGCTTGCCAGGCAGGTGCATAGACCGCCAAGTTATCTCCCCTAATACCCCAATTTTATTTTATTTTTATTTTTTTT